GAAGGGAAGTTTTGATTAAAGGTTTTCCTTGGATGAACTTTCTACACGACCGCAACCAGTAAGCCTAAAGAGTTTAGCAGAGCCAACGTATGAGACAAAGTAGAATACATCCAGGTATATGAGAACTTGAATGTCAAAGCCACGCCCATTAATGGTCGTCAACAAACGACGACGCAGGACAAGTGCCGCATCGGCCTAATTAGTAAACCAATTGGGAATGAATTTCGGTCTGGTTAGCAGGACGTACAATTAGATCGACTTTGAACCCCATAGTGTGCATCCTGCATTCTTTTGAACAGCACTGTGATAACGCCAAATTAATTTTGATTTTAATGCTGTCTACCCGAGCTGAAAATATTAAACGGTTTCAACTACCGTTAGCTCCAAAACAGCAAAAGAGAGTATGCTTGTACCTAAATAGAATTGTTGAGAATGCTATGCCACCCATGCTTCCGGACGCCTGTATTACAAATATATTTTTCTTTTCAAACGAGCTGTTCTTTTGAGTGAACCGACGGAGTAAAAACTTAAAACAACACTCTTTATATGCCCGGACACTGAGTTAAGCAAATATTAGCTAATAGACTAAAAACGCACGATGGAAAAGTGAGTAATCGTCACACAACGGCAGCACACAAACGTGCAAGCTGACCCTTTTCTTGATAATTTTCAGATGGTTCATCGTAAATGCTGAAAGATTTGCGTTTTCTATCATTTTTATTGCATCATCGTTTGTAATCATCGTGTGCGCAATTCGGTTATTCTCTCAAAAAGAACGTAGAGTTAAGCATTCCATGTGAGAGACGCTGTTAGTGTTGTAAACAATGCTCCGTCTCCCGGGAACTTGATCCAGCACACTGAATTTAAATAATGTTATTGGATTCCATTTGGAGTAAATTATTGTTCATCCTACAGTTTTAATTTAAAAACCATGCGCAGTAAAGCGTTCAGAAATCACGGAGATGAAATGGCTCATCACTTCCACTTGCAAGTATTTTCCAGAGGCTTACATTTCAGCGAATCCGCAGCAGAGCCAACTCATAGCTTTTGATTCTACCAAAAAAATGGTTTGATAAAGAAAACATCACAACCTTGTTGTGACCTTGCGTTTCAGTTGCAGTTAAGGGAACAAGTTCAATATATCGCTTTTAAACAGCCGTAAATTTTTGTGTCAGCGTTCCAAGAAACTCTATGAAAGCATTAATGAATGCGTCGCAGAAAAGTCGAATCAATCCATCAACACATCATCCGTTGAACACTGGCGAACTGCGACGTCAGCAATAATGTTCAGCTACTCTAAGATACAGCCTCCGAAAAATTTCAACTGCAAAGTTCTATCGTTCTCTACTTCGGGCTATTTTTGCCGATTCGTGTTGGCTGAATTTTAAAGCAGGGTATGCCGTCTGTCAAGCCCCCCTAAGGCATCCTCTGTATAGCAGAAAGACATAAATCGCAAAATATGAATACATGGGCTACACAAATGGAGCCTGTTTGCGTATCGTTATGTTTTGTATGTGAGCATTTAGATAAGGATCACCTACTGCTGCAAAAGATTCAACTGCTTGCTCAAAGCAGACGGGCAGATAGCGAATGAAAACGCCATAAATCTGATGATAAAGCAATAATGCCAAGCTTCCAAACGTTTGCAGTAAATTTTCAGGAAAGTGCGGCATACTCCTATGTGAAGAAAACTTAAATCTTGTCAATTTTTAGTGTTCAGACCACTGATGCAGAGTCCCAAAAATACCTCAGATACGATAAAAATGATTTAATGTAGCCCGTAGTCCGGTATATGATGGCTCTTGAGTATCCCGTTTAATATGCGCAACAATACCTTGCTCGCGCTGAAGGAAAAAAAATCACACCTGTGTGTCTTCAGAAATTCCTTCATACTATTTGGCTGCCATACTAACTGGAATATTGCAGTTGTACGCGTATTGCCTTCATATGCACGAAGGGTGGAAAGTTGGAATAGTGTAGTTGTTCACCATTTTACAAAAACTTAATGTGCTACATGACGACTTTGGAGCATTCTCTCTCAGTCTCCCTCGTTTATTTGCTGCACTGCCAGAGCAACCGATCTGGCAGTTCTGGTAACCAAAATTTTAAGTAGAATTCCTCCCATCTGCCTTCCCGATGTTACTGTTAATTAATGTGAACCATTTAACATGCGAGTAGGGTCATATAAGCTACGAACAAACCAAAATTAGAATGGCTTAAACGATAGCCGTTCAAAACACTGAAGAAGGGACGATAGAATCGCAATCTTTTATGGCTTGTGTGACTTTTCGGGATAGAAAAAACTGGGGTAAACAAATCGACCTGTAATGTTTATATAAATTTGTTTGAGATATCAATCGTGATCCCCGGATGTTTGCTATGAGATCACACTGAGAGCGACTCTCAATAATAACAAGTTTTCGGGTTCTCATTAGAAATTGTATCCGGAAAAAGCCACAAAGCTCCTCCCGTTTTATTTTTTGCGGTTTATTGGTTTTTAGCGAGCTACTCATACTTTGGCAAGTTCCGAATGCAGGCTAAGGCTAAGAAAATGTTTTCGAAAATTACTGAACTATTAACCAAACAAGTTGTTGGGGGACAGTTGCGGATGGAGGGCTGAATCTAAAAGTGTATATAGGCTCAGTAGATTATAACAAGTAAACTATACAATGCTGAGTTACGTTTGTGTGTGAACTGTGGTATGACATCTCCATGCAATGCGAACAGCCTTCTGCCAGCTGCTAGAGGACAGCCTGTTTCTCAAAGTCGTTTGTTAGTCCATTCCAAATAATGTATCAACCAACCCACTAAACAAAAATAAGGAAGGCCTCTACGGATTTACCGCAAGTAAACTTACCGTAAAACAGATTCAATAAAGAACGGTATTCGGTCAACGACAGAAACTTGAATTTTGTCGTTTGCTTCTGATATGGCACAGCTACATTATATCCTAAAATAATAAGCTTTGCTGAGTATGCAAAACAATCCGCCGGTTGGAATGTAATGGAACTACTCGCATTTGACAAGCGCCCCCGAAATGACGTATTTTGGACAAGTGAATCAAGGATACTGATCTGAAGCTAGCCTGATTCCGATCATCTGTTCGAATGCTATTGCGCGTAACAGATTGGGGGATCATGTAGTCGTGCGCTGATATTTTCCTAGGTATCATCCACGACAAAATTTTCAGGGCTTATGACGAAATTGCGCTGTCGAATAAGACGTTTATTGCCCAACGTCTTTGAAGAAAGCCACAAAGTTTATAAACAGCTTCACTCATGTTATTTGGGTTAGGAGCCTCTGAACATTTCTAACAAAAAAATCGACCGCCATTTTCCCCACACCAACGTCCAGTGTTTGTGGAATCTAAGCTGTTGAATTCCTTCTGGTTTTACTTCACTAATTCGCGAGTCTGAATGAATTCGTAACATGTCCTCTAGCTATGGTAGGAGACTAAACGCGATATTTGTGCGGCAAACAATGTTTTAACTGAAGATAATTTACAAAAATGTGGATGTATATCTTAACAAATTAAGTCTCAAGCACTCTGGTTCATGCAGAAGGCGCTGAAAAGTTCAAATTTTATGATTATGATTTATTTTATAGACAAAATTCAGTAAATTTAAAGTAATCGGATACCAAAGCATGGCATTTGCTGTCAAAGCGAGTGTGTACTTGTTATAAACTAATGCTAAACTGAAGCTGCAACAGTCCGTGGTGTTAGTAGACGATAAATATTCGATCCGCCACAGCCGATTGCATTATTCTTCTTCTAAAAGTTTGACAGGAAAAATTGAAACTGAGTAGTCATGATAAAAATGAAAAATCTAATTTGAGTCAGGCATTTCACTAATTTTTAGGTTTTGGAGAAAAACGCTTCTGTGACGTGGCCTAAAATGTGGTGAGTAATGGAATACCCAAAACAAAATTCTTAGGCTTCCAAGCAACCAGTTTCGCTCAATAAAGCCAGTGATGCTTCCTGGCCGCCAATTCATGCTTCAACCACCCGGCAACCTTCAGTCAACATATTAATTTGCTACTGCCAAATGAATCCTTTTAATTTTGTTGGAAAACGTGCTGGTTTATGCAAATGAAAATTAACTGTCAATCTGGGATAGGCTTTCAATTTCTGGGAATGCGGCTTTCGTCTGGTGGAATGGTTGTCCGTATTTCGCAATGAACTTTGCAACCGAGTGTGTGCTGATACTTCTACTTCCATCTAAACAACTGGCGCTAACCTTTCCAAAATCCTCATATGACAGTAATCATAATGTATGACACACCGCGGAATAAGGTCCACTTGTCATGGTTCTGCAAATGGCCTGTGTTGGAGTATGATTAGTCCCGTTAGCAAATATTTACAGGTAAATTGGACATTATTATTATTATTACTACTTCGGAAAATGAAACAGGTAGACTGCTAAGGCTTTGTAGATATGCATGCAATGATTTAGGTCTTTTGCTTACTAACATAGACTCCAAATGCTCATTTGTCTTTGATTTGAACTAGTGTTTCCTATATTAAATGTTGTGTATTGTGAAGACTGAGTGAAAAGCCTGCCTAAGCATCCAATAAGTTTCACAGTTCTGAAACCTCAGTTCGAGGTTTCGTAAACGCAAATGTATTCCTTCAGTCATTGTGAGCCAATAGTGATTTCTTTACATTCGGGGATAGCGAGCTACGTTAAATCGGCAGGTAATATTTAATAAACTAACGCAACATACGGGTGCGCCGCACATTTGGAATCTAAGTGGGAGTATGCTGGTGGAACTGATAAAATTTATCAGTGGCTCGCCGCAAACGTTTGGCTGCTTTCGACAACAATTAACGGTAGAATTGAAGCATGGATGCACCTCTTTAATAACATCACGATCAGTTTGGTGCAATTAGGCAGCCACGATGCTCATCACACACGTAGGGCGATCTGGTTGATTTTTGTATAACAAATCTGGATGTTTATTGAAATTTCAACTTACGAGACTATATAGTTAGATTAAGTGCGGTTTATTATGTGCAACTCACTTGGGCCGAAGGTTAGTTTAAATCCTCTGTGCGTCCCATCGCCGTCAGTCGTGGAGGTAACCTGAACGGTGTCGTTGTATACAATATTTTCAGGTTTTTCTGTACCGCAGTAAGGACCATAGGACGTCACGCTCCTGCCGGTTCCGACAAAAACGTATAGGTAATCAAATTGACAGCGTTCTCCCCAGTTTGCACTTTCCACCTGTTAAAAAATGCAACATTCACAATTATTAGACAGAAAACATCTTTGAGATTCCATCCGGAAAACTCGCAACTGATATGTCTGTCGAGGGTGCAATATTTAATTCCATTGTAAAATTACTCGGTATGCTGAGTGAAGTGTTATATTCGTCCATTATTTTTGTTGAATGTCCTCATTGCAACAGTTGGTACCAAGTATCTTTTTTGTTTTCGAGTGAGTAGTTGTGCAACGTTTTTGTTTATTTTTTTGTGAATATCTCGCCCTTTAGTTGCTCTTAAAGCCAATTGATTTTTGGATTGATTATTGTGATCTGCCCAAGTAGTTTTGCCCACGTACAAGGCAGCAAATTTCTGTACGCAACTTTCGTTTAGCCTTGATAATATGCACACCGAAGTCAACACTTAAGGGTGCGTGTGTTGTAAAAGGTTCATGCTCTAAGAACTAGTGCTGATTCATTGTAGATATTCTTTTCTAGAACGGTACACAAATGAGCCTGTGGGATCTTCCTAACAGCTGATCATAACGAACCGTCAAACATGATTTGGTTTTGCTTAGGTTTGGGGTCTTTAACACTAGTGCATGTGTGCACTCATAACAAAACTCAAACTTGGCTATTGGTATGCGCCATTCTATGCTGTCTTAGTTTTGATTCTATTTCTGGAAAAGACGTGGCAGTATGAGTGACTTAGTATGTACCTTAGAAAAGTCAACTTACATCAAAATCTTCAAACGTCAAGACACCAGGCTTTGAGGGCCTTTTGATGGTCCATGAGCAGCCAAGGTCGTTGGGATAATCATGGGGGTATTCAGGTGATTTTATTTCTCCACTTTCCACTTGTAGGTCATGGACGCATGGGTCTTGTTTAGTATAAACGAAAAAGAAAGAAACGATTCAGGAATGGAAATATTCACGGAGCATTCCCATGTTAGCCTGCATAGCGAGGCTCTAAATGTTAATATATCAAGGTATTGCTCATCGTATGTAAAAACGTCCGGCCCCAACATTATGTACTATAGTAGAAATAAGCCATTCTAGAGTACAAAATGTCTTATCATTGTTTCGCCGTATTTAGATATCTCAAAAAACCTTTGGTTCAAATTTGGTGAATACCAGCAGTAATAGAAAAATTTCTGGATTTCTGGATTTCATTTTTTTAATTTGAAGTACTGCTTGTGATCTTTTGAAGAATACATTACCGATGTGCTTATTGTGTACCAACAGATATTCACGTTATACTGGACGCAATTTTTAGTCAACAAATTAACCATCACGGCTGCATAGTTCATGGATAATACAACATATGTTTGGGAAGATCGAACCGAGTTACGCATTTTTTTGAAATATTACATGACGTAGCAAATAAAACTAAATACATCTTCAACGGAAAACACAAGGTCGCTAGGCAGATAAAACATTGACGGAAAAATATCATGCTCAAAACGGGAGTGAAGATGAAGATGACTCCACATTTGCCACATATTGAGCATTCCAATGAGCACTTGCATGGCGTCAAACTAAAAAACATAGGAAAATAAATCAAATAATGAGTGAGCGAAAGCTTACAGGGTGTGCGGGTAATATTTTCCTCCTTTCTAGTGGTTGTTGTCTCTGAAAAGTGGAGATATTAGAGAAAGCATATCGCTGATAGTCAAATCTAGAAAATACTTGATCAAACATGTAAAACACTATCCTCTTTTGACCACAGACTTAACGAACAAATGATAAAAAACCAAGACATAAATAAAAAGTACGTTTTCTCTTGAAAACGATGTTACTGCACGCAATTATGACATTTTAACTCAGATTGAGTTATCCGACTTTCAAACGGACATCCACTACTTTCGATTACACATCTTACAGCATTTACTGATTATTTTTTTCTTAACAGGAGTTGGCGTCGAAGGAGTTTCTGCTGCTCCCTCTGAAAGGAAAAACGGTATCATGTGTTACGAGCGAAGATGTCATTTTGCAGCGCGATCGTTAAATAGTCATTCCGCCGGCTGAATCGGCCTATGATCTTTTTCCTGGATTCAAATGGCTTTGTGAGGAATGCAGTATTTATTTCTCCTGTATATCCCACTAAATTCTGTGATTCTAGAACTTTCTCTGCAATATTTCCTTTGCAGTGTCACACAGACGGTTCTAAACCAACCAAAAATATTATTTTTGAACACCCATTCAGAAAAACACATCAGCATTAGTTTATTGACCTGCACGAAATATTCATACATGGTCTTACTTTTAATCCATGTCTAATGTTGTTTGATTGTATACTGGCGTATCGCGGTATAAAAACCGTATATGGTGCCACCTGTAACCCAGTTGTTCAGAGGTTTGAAATTTTGGGGTTTTATTAAGGTTGAAAGTTATAAGACAATGGCAGCTCTTTAGATAAGTAGGTGGTAGGACACACTAGCCTATAACGAGGGTTAAAATCGATTAAGATTCTACACAACTAAATACACAAAAATCAACTATATTCCATTGTAATGCAGGTAGAATTGAAGCTACCTTAATTTTTTTCAATGTAGGAATTCTGTTTCACTTACCAGGGAAATAACTTGCCACAAATCCCTTGTAAGCGCGAATCCTGTCAGATATAAACTTTATCGTGACCTCGTCATCGAATGTAATATCTGCGGGTGGTATGTAACCGCACAGAGGATCATGAGTCACTGCCGAATCCCCGGACCCAACGATTACAAGGACGTAATCAAATGTACATGGTCCGCCCTAAAGAGGCGCTTCAACCTGTTTTAATTTGGCAAAGAGGTGAAGACATTTTAAAGCACAACTGCACTGCTTGTAGCCAGCTAATAGTTGGGGCATGATTTTGAGAACTTTTAATAATTTTCCGCCGAATTTTGAAAACGTAAAACGTATGTTTATACCTCACACAAAGACCAGCGCATGATAAATTGATGAGAAATTAACACTTTCCTGAAAAGATCACAAATGAGAGATTCAGCTGTGTCAAGTGGGTCTCTCGCAAAACCAAATTTGATTGCAAATGAGTGGATTTTACTAACATATGATCTACTTTCAAAAGCGATGTGGATGAAAAATGCTCGCACTCTGATTGATAATCCATCACTGGTTGGACATGTATCAGCCATCCAGTATGAGTTACGCAAGGTTCAACTTTTGGTCTTATTTAACGTGTGGCTTGTAGTTTTCTCGATCAACTGTTGAATCCACTAGGCTAAAGTCACGCGTGGACCACATTACTTGCACCAACATATTGATGTGTTGATGCTAAAATAATTGGCAACCGGATATCACTTTGCATGTTTATTTTTTAGAAATTCTCGAGTGGTAATAAACGATGTAGGTAATGTTTTTAGCAGAACACCGTATGCTAAAACTTCTTCTGGCAAACAGAAGCCTAGCCAAAATGAGACATGTGTCTAAGGGTGGCGCGGTCGCCCATTAAGCGTGGATATTATTCGAAATGAACGTATATTTACCGGGGAATGAGCAGTCCTGATTTATAATCTGAATATTGGGCTTACTTCGAAGTCGCGAAATTTCAGTACGCTGGCCTTTTGGGGTCTTTTTATTGTCCATGTGCAGTTGAGGTTATCGGGATAAATAATCGGATAACCAGGCGACTGAAAAGAACCTTCGTTGTCAGGCAGTTCGCTGCCGCATTTTGGTTCTGAAATGTACAAAGGGTTACTGGTTGCGAAAATTTCAAAATGGCAAATCTAAGCTGCATTCACATCTCAAAAATGATGTAGTGCCCATCAGGCCTAAAACCAATGCTTGCCTCTGTGAAGCAAGATAGTGTGTGGCGATATCTTACGGCATCCCTGCGGTCTTAGTATTGTCTATCAACAAAATATTTTCGATAACTTTGAAAAACGTTACTCCCGTTTTTTCTACTCTGAAGAATCGTGCAAATTCCATCTTGTACGCTTTTTGAGAGTTGTTCATCAAGCAAATTTACCCACTGGTTTGATGTAATCAATATAACTAAAAAGTTTATCAATGAGTTGGGCTAGATGACATTCACCTTTAGTCTCAGAAAGCTATCGTTTAATTTACGCTAACGATTCTAGAAAAAATGATCACCTGATCTTATAAGTTAGTGTTCAGTAATGTGTATACGACAACTTACCTTTGACCGGACCAGCTGCAAAAACAATTTGTAAGAATATATTCAAAAGGTTTAAGATCGGTTGGGCACACATTTCAAGCGTGTATTAGGTAACATGTGTCAGTATTCCCCAAGTTAGGTCACTAATCGAGATGACTAGGTGAAAATCGATACTTTAAATTCAACAATTCAAAAACGACAATAAATCGTGGTAATCAGTTTGGTACATGTTGTCAACGATGTCTTCCTTTCAAATTCTATTAAGTAAATGTATTTTTGCAAGAAACCATCTTGCTCTCCTTTTGGCAGGGCGCAGCGTTTTCCTCCGATTTTCAATTAGGTATGCTTTACTAAGTGATGTCCCTTTGTCTAAGACGGATTTTTCAGCGTCCACATACGCGCCGCTGCATGATACATGATCCACCACAGTAAAAGAAAATTATCACACGTCTGGGACTGGAACTAGTTCAAGGAACTCATTAAGAATCATAGTGTAAGGCAGATTCTGGTCCAAAAACGAAAACGCTAGCAATATAATTTGATGACTGTTGAAAATCTTGTGTAGTGTCATCTGAGAAAAAACTCACCCAAACCACCGTGTAACCCAATCGCAATGCAGAAAAGCAGTTTAAAGATCATCTTCAAAAACTACATTGCTTCCTCTGATTATGGAGTTGTTTCAGCTCTCCTTATATACCAATTTCTAGGTAATCACATGATTGACTAGAGAAAGGATTACCAACCCGGAATGTCGGTTTTGAGAGACTGTCTTCAGTCTCGCCACTAATACCACGCAACCAGGTTAGGCGACTGAGCAAATGTTTTGAACATTTGATTACCCAAGCGCAGCTTTTTTCCAGAGTTGCGTCACACAGTGATTCATGGTGAAAATAGTTATGTTAACTTGTTTGCTTTGTAATCACTAACACCACTTTGGCTTACAGTGATATAACTGCAAGTTGGAGCCTTATTATTCGTGCAAATTAATCCGTTTCCGGTAAAACCTATAACTGTGCAGCGAACAGGCGCCTGTTTTCACCTGTGAGGAACTGAATGAATCTAATAAAAAACAAATGTTTGAATGGTGTATCCACCTGGCTTGGGAATTATGCCGTCTCGAGACAAGTGTAACTGAATCTAGACAGTTGCTCAAGACCACCCGAATTAGATGTTACTGTTTTTTTATTACAAACTTACCGACCAAAACGATTAGTCGCCTAAACCTCTCCCCTAAGATATCGAAATTTTAGGGTTACGTGTTGTGGAGGATAGCGCCTGGAGATTATATTTCAGCTGGCATTATTCATTCATCTATCAGGCTTTCGTTGAAAAACGGTCAATTAGAATTCAACACTAAAAAACACACAGTTATGCTTCTAATAAATTGACCATTGTATTTTTCTGAGAAAACATCACTTTGGAAGTGTGTATATCTAGGTTGACTGAATATCATATGAGATTATATTCAGCTGGCATTATTCATTCATCCATCAGGCTTTCGTTAAAAAACGGTCAATTAGAATTCAACACTAAAAAACACACAGTTATGCTTCTAATAAATTGACCATTGTATTTTTCTGAGAAAACATCACTTTGGAAGTGTGTATATCTAGGTTGACTGAATATCATATACTGCATCACTCGAAGGGCGAAATATGTCTTGTGCCCCTGCGGAGATTTTAGCGACCTCATTAGTAGTGTACTATATTGTAATATATAGTACTATAGTACTATATTACTATAGTTCTATAGTACTATATAGTACTATGTGCTACTATGTCAACCAAAAAATGAGAAGGCCTTCTGCGGCTACTTCAGAACAAGCTGAGCAACAGATTCACCTGGGCTCCAATTGGGTACCCCGCAAAAGACAAATTGATACATAAAAGGGTATGCTTGTCAAAAGCATTTATTCGCTTCAATACCCCGAGAAACTGCAGTAAAGAAGCCGTGTGAGTATAAATTTGTTCAGCTGTCTCAAAGGTGTCAGTTGTGCGAGCAAAATCGCACGTCGGTGTTGCGACTTTTCTGCCGTTGTACAATTCTAAGCCAATTTAGTTTAGTATTGTCCAGACAGACAAGTTTATCAACATATTATGTATGCTAGTAGCAAAAGGTTTTATTCTCAGGAATACAATGAAATAAGGATTCAATCTGGATGAGAGTTGTAGCGGTCGGGGGATGCAAAAACGAAGTCCCTCATACAATACTGATTAAACAACCGGACGATAAGGCTATTTTTAGCCGAATCCAGAGGGAACGCCACTTCTAATTTCAGTTGCAGATGTTTTATATATATTTCGATTGGACTCGTGTAACATAGAATGCTAAAACAGACTTTTGTCAGTACAACTGTCGCGGAGGAAATGCCAATGTGGCCGTACAGGACATTTTTGCTCAAAGTGAATGTGGTAGCTTTTGACTGGAATTACCTTCTTTCATATTCATAGTACGCGCTTTTCCATTACATATGTTGCCTCTCAGTGGCATCGTTTATTCTCAATAAATTCTCATAATGCTTCTACGATTGCTTGCCAAGTATACGAACCAACACAAAGGTGTGTGTTATGCAACTCATTGCCCAGAATGGTGGCTGTCGGCTTACCCCACGTGTACATCCACAATGAACACCACGCTTCATTTGTTCTTGATAAATTAAATCTTACAGAAAGTTGTTTAATTGTAGATAGGGATGAACACAAAATCTGGGTTTATTGAAATATTGATTTAGGGTGTTCAACAGCAAAATTTCGATCATGGGGTGAGCATTCCGGTTTCAAACAGGACACTAATTCTCCCGCTCACATAAAACCATTTCATGCTTATTGGAGAATAGGTGCTTTGTTCTAGAATTTTGCTACTGTTGCAAGAATACAGTAACCCAGCAGCTTTTTACGGCATACCATGTGCATTGCCCTTACGCCAATTTGAATGGGTTGAGATCGACGGTTGGTATGCCTAAGTTAGCAGCACCAAATGACAGACATTCTAAAGTTATCAAAAATATCAAAACAGCAGTTTCGTTGACAGCGATTTCCATTCCTCTCCGGTAAATTTGGGATACCAGTCTTTATTTTCTCAGAACGTCGCCTTGCTAACTCGAAGATACTGAGCGTATGTCTATAGTATGTTCAACCGAAGATATATATACATATGTTTTCCCGAAGAGTTCATCTGCATTCGTCCACGGTCTTCGTCTACATCGTATTTCACGCAGAATGGCTTGCAGTAAATGCCATTGTAATCTTTCTAATGAACCACCAGAAAGCACCTATAGTTGATGCAATTTAATGGGTGACACCATAATAGCCAAATAATAATGTTTTTCCCAACCTGTCACCTAAATCAATGGGATTAGATTAGCACGTGATAAGTACTCACGGACTGTCATAAACGGAAAACGGAATAAAATGACATGAGGTACGACTAGTTCAGTCGCGAAACCGCTTGAGTTTGACAAAAACAAAAAGACATCGTTGACATTTGGTGGTTGAATGGAACAACCGAAGATGGGGATAGCAAAACTGGAATGGGAGACGAACGGCAAAACCATCACAGAAATATATTCATCGCGCTATTTACCCAGAATACTCAGAAGAAACGGTTATTCCGACAGTGCAAAATCAACGAGCATTCTGTAACTCTGGGGCACAGAAGGCAGATCTAGCTGACCTATATATCAAGGATTGACTTCTGCTTTCCTGAGTTGGGTCGATCCATCGTTCCGGTGCCGCATCCTCCGTAGGGCGATTCTATTCTTGGTAGCCGAAAAGCGCGTGCACGGCATTTTCGAAGTTGTTGCGTATCTTAAGTAGTTTCTCACTGAAAAAAAACTCGGAGGTTTGCGAAAACTTGAAACTTTGTCCGCCCGGAGTTAAGCAGGACTGCGATTAACCAACACCATAATTACTATACTACCAACCGTGTATTAATCACGGGACCTAAATAAAGTGCTCAAAAGAATGCAGAGTGATCGAAATAGTCATGATGGTATGTCAGGTTTACTTGGCGAATGACCAACCTGCTGTCTAGTTGGTTGCTTTCAGATATCTGTGTGTGCAGTCAGTGATCGGACGGTTGCAAGTTCACAGTTTCGTTATTTTTTGTAAACTGTTGAAATTTGCAACAAGTGTACCACTGCCGAATGTTTCTAGCCAGCCTATCAACGTAAACTGAAAGTGTACAAGGTGAAATCCCCATAAAAAGTACATAAATATACTTGCAGTAGCAATACCAAATGCTTTATTACACTAATATTTACCTGCGCGAAGTTTTCAGCGCACGGCCAGAATTGCAGAAGCTCTGGAAATTTTGAGACTACATCTGCCCAAGTGAAAGCATTAGTCAGTTTGACTGACTGATTGGTTGGTTGGTCGATTGATTTATTATGTTTGATTTGAATGTGGTGGTTAGAATATTAAAAAGCCGAAACATTTGAGATGGAGCTGCAGAATGCTTAGCTCCTTGCTAACGGCTACCTGTTATCTTGATATTCATCTAGAAATGAAGTAGGAACATTTCGATTTATTTTTTGTTGTAGTCTCTGTCCATTAGCGTTGGGCAAACTTCACGGGCTGTCATCGATGAAGACTAATAAAGGAAACACAAAACCAGCATTTGTAGCCCCTGAGCCTTTTCAAAACAAATTGAACAGTGGCAGAAAATCTCATTTGAATCCATTCATTTTCAGGACCAAATCAGAATCATTCCTCTGCCCCAAAGTGAATGCCAAAACCCCGTCAACAACTTGTCGGTAGTTCGTGCCTTTTGACTGAATAAATCAGTGTACTGGAATATCGTGATAAGGGTCCAAAAATCAGTAAAAGCGGTCGACCACTTGTGAAAGTAGACCTTGTGTTTTTCTCTTTCGAATTCATTAACGGCGCTGCTGAAATGTTCTAACCGGTTTCATATCTACTTTATTTTATTTCACTGGTGACAGCAAAACTCCGAATTTTTGTGCAAATTCTCGTTTTCATCTAAATTTATCTTTTCATTTATTCGATTCGTTAAATATCATGCACGTACCCGAAAGTGACACCATCGTTTTAGTTCGTTTACTTGCGGTTAAAATTCCACTTTGGAATACTCACCTTAGTAAGCTCAACGTCTTTATGTCCAAGTGCGATAGTAGCGGTGGAATGTTTCCCCACAGGAAAATAGTATACAAACAAATGAATTATACTTAACTCGTTATTCTGCTGTGACAACATCCCAGTCGACTTAACTTCTGCACAAATCTCGGGAACGGACAGAAAGTATGTTGAATTCAAAAGTTTGAATTTATCAGGATAACTTCTTATTATTACCTGACTTATCTCTTGCTCATTTTGCGGGTTAACTTTGTATCAACAGATTTTGTCAGTTATGTACGTTTTCCTGTAATTCTGTCACTCAAAGTTGCCACCCCTTTCCTCACTAATGACTACATTCCTGAGACGTCGTTGATATTTTGCGTGTGATCGGTAACTCTTGCCAAAAATTCTGCAAGTAGTGCACGAACGGCTGTTTAACATCTGTTCAACATTTTCTCGTGATTCGTATGGGAGGCCCTTCAACAGATATAGAACATTCATTTTTGATGAAATCCCTTTGCTTCAAGGGATACACAAGGTTCTATACTGATCCTTCTCTTACTCGTATTTGTGATGTATTTGAC